GGACTTAAGTGTTGGACTTAAGGCCTATCAACTCCACCACGGTTATTAAGGTCCTGACACCCTCTTGCTGTCCATCCAGCTTTAGTCCTGAATATTGTCCAGGACTAAAGTATAAGAACTTAGTGTATATATATATATATATATATATATATATAGATATATCATATATATATATATATATATATATATATATAGATATAGATATAATAGATATATAGATATATATATATATATATATATATATATATATATATATATATATATATATTATATATATATATATATATATATATATATATATACACCTCTCAGTGTTCATAACCTCCCCCCCCCCTTCCCCCCGCCCCTTGAGTTCCCGGATGAGCTCTGGAGCCCCGGCTGTTGTCACGCCTTCAAACAAGCGCTGACCTTTCAAGACTCTTTTTTTGTATTATTTAATCTTATAAATTATGGAATTACTGATAATAATTAGTGGTTATGTTGTATTATTAAAAGTTCAAATAAACATGCAAGTTATTTTTTTAAAGAACAATCAAAAATATATTCCGCGTTTTATATTTATTGTTGAAACTATAGATAGTATTTGTTTAATGAATGATTATTACAATAATAATACAACAAATACCAGATGTATAATACAATACTACCACAATACAGCACTGTAATTAATAAACAAAATCAATGCATCACATCCTTAAACTCAGACCTAAAACATGTTTAAACTCTCCAAATCCGGGAACACAATCAGGACAAGTTTTCAATTTACAATCTCCTTAAAAAAATGCTATACGAAGTTAATCTCAATTTCAACATGAACAAAAAAGTACCGAACGAACCCGTAGCTATAGTCCAAGCTGCGAACGTTCGTAAATGTAATTTTCGTAAATCCCTTCGTTCGGATGCATATATAAGAGACCTTTACTTATACACCCAATCACTTGGGGTGGATTCTCCCCTCTAAATAAGAGGGGGAACTGGGCGTTGTTGAGGGGGTATTGGAGATAGTGTGGGGGCTGAGGGGGGATTGGGGCAAGTCGATAGGATTGGGGAGATTGGGGGGGGGGGGAGCGTACTCGGTATCCTACTAGGACATGCTGTGGGGTGGGGGTGGGGGGGTGTTTACAGCCGCGTGGTGTTGACAATCTTCACACTGGTGTACTGTCTCTCTCTGCCAGCCTTACGTGGTCGCCACGAGTGATCCCGACCGTATTGCTATGCCCTCAGACAACCCGTTCTCGCACTTTCATATAGTCAATATTGACTTATTAAATACGTGCATATTTGACATACTAATTTATTGTGAATATTTTAGTTTACCTTGAAAAGCTTCATAGAAAACACCATAGAAACAATTATTGCTTCGTAATTACAATTATTACTTAACCTATACCTATAATAGGTTAAGTAATAATTGTAATTACGAAGCAATAAGATGCTTATCTTAACATACTAACAAGGTTAGTATGGGTTGCCTCAGACGCTCTTCATGTGGGGAGGAGGGGAAGGGGGACGTGTACACACACACACACACACACACACACACACACACACACACACACACACACACACACACACACACACACACACACACACACACACACACACACACACACACACACACACACACACACACACACACACACACACACACACACACACACACACACAACACACACACACACACACACACACACACACACACACACACACACACACACACACACACACACACACACACACACACACACACACACACACACACACCACACACACACACACACACACACACACACACACACACACACACACACATACACACACACACAAACACACACACACAACACACACACACACACACACACACACACACACACACACACACACACACACACACACACACACACACACACACACACACACACAAACACACACACACACACACACATACACTCTGTATATCACACATGGAGCCCGCACCTTGTCAAGCACAAGACAAAGCTGGAAAAAGTTCAGAGGTATGCCACTAGACTGGTCCCAGAACTAAGAGGCATGAGTTACGAGAAAAGACTGCGGGAAATGCACCATAAGACACTGGAAGACAAAAGAGTGAGGGGAGACATGATCACTACCTACAAAATCCTCAGGGGAATTGACAGGGTAGACAAGGATGAACTATTCAACACTGGTGGGACGCGAACAAGGGGACACAGGTGGAAACTGAGAACCCACATGAGCCACAGAGACGTTAGAAAGAACTTATTCAGTGTCAGAGTAGTTAACAGATGGAATGCATTAGGCAGTGATGTGGTGACTCCATGCACAGTTTCAAAGGTACATATGATAGAGCCCAGTAGGCTCAGGAACCTGTACACCAGTTGATTGACAGTTGAGAGGCGGGACCAAAGAGCCAGAGCTTAAATCGACTCGTGACGATGTGTGACTATGATGTGACACTGATCAAACATGGACCTAGCATAACTACAAAACACTACAGGAGAACGTTAATAAACTACAAAGAGGATTGGTTCAATACATGGCTACTTGAATTCAATACTAACAACTGCAAAGCAAGAAAGAAGACTGGGAGACCTGAGAGACTGTACACCCTTGAGGGTCACCAGACGAGCCCTAGAGACTAAAGTTTGTTACCGGACTCTCAGCCCTATGTCACCCTTCATAAGGACACTATTTATGTAGGCAATCAATATACGGCTCCTGAAAAAAAGTCAATTATTTTATCAAAGATGATATGGAGTTCTTCAATGTTGCAAATATGTGTGTTGACTTTGAATATGTGAAGGGCTGAGAATTGCTGCATATTATCAAACATTATTAGGAAACTGCAAATGTTTGCTATTTGACGGTATTATCTGGAGAGAGGCTTGGGGAGAGTGGCGAACCTCCTCCAATCAGAAGTGAGATGACAAATGACGTCATTTTGGCAGCAGCCAATGCAGGAGCCGTAATTTGAAAGCGTTACCGGAAGGACGACGGATTCCAGAGAGCGCCAGTCAGACCCTGGCAGCCGGCGGGACAGGACGCTGGGTGTCGCCCAGAGGATCAGTGGTTCAATTTCGTCATAGTGGGAGCTGGAGGCGCCGAAGCAGGAGGAGGGTTAGGTCGGGGTCGACCGACGACAGGATGTCCTTAGTCTGCTTTGGCTCTAGATAGGAGGGTTAGATTAAGGCGTGACAGTGGAGCAGAGGAGACATCTTGACGTCTGGAGTGGTGGTCAAGGCCGCGAACATCGCAGGAGGAGGAGCCAGGAAGACGGGGAAGATCTTCCACGGTTTCATCAACAAGTTGACGTATAAAGAGTGTCGGTGCCGAAGACATTTCATGACTCGTGAATGTCTGGCTATGTGGGACACAGCCATGATCATCATTGGTTATGTGGGACACAGCCATGATCATCATTGGTTATGTGGGACACAGCCACGATCATCATTGGTTATGTGGGACACAGCCATGATCATCATTGGTTATGTGGGACACAGCCATGATCATCATTGGTTATGTGGGACACTCATCATTGGTTATGTGGGACACAGCCATGATCATCATTGGTTATGTGGGACACAGCCATGATCATCATTGGTTATGTGGGACACAGCCACGATCATCATTGGTTATGTGGGACACAGCCATGATCATCATTGGTTATGTGGGACACAGCCATGATCATCATTGGTTATGTGGGACACAGCCATGATCATCATTGGTTATGTGGGACACAGCCACGATCATCATTGGTTATGTGGGACACAGCCATGATCATCATTGGCTATGTGGGACACAGCCATGATCATCATTGGTTATGTGGGACACAGCCATGATCATCATTGGTTATGTGGGACACAGCCATGATCATCATTGGCTATGTGGGACACAGCCATTGACCATCAATGGCTATGTGGTTGACAGGAACGTGGGAGGAGCGACACAGCCCAACAGGTGTACTCCTCCAGATGCCCGAGATCAGCCACACACATTCTCACGGTTTAGTCAAATGAAGACTTAGTAGGTGAATGTTTTAGGGATAGCGGAGCTCCATAGGGATTATAGGATTATATTATATTATATTATATATATATATATATATATATATATATATATATATATATATATATATATATATATACATATATATATATATACGAATATTAGTATATATTGGTAGCAGTCTTTCCTGTAGGCATATATAATTGAATATGACCGAAATGACGAGATATATGATTCTAACACGAATCTTCTCTAGTTTCCTTCACTTGAGAAGGAAGATGAAAAATTAACTCCCCGAAGTTCATTTTTACAGTTTTATTTGGCCCGGTGCTAAGAGGAGCGTTCCGTTAACCCTTGTTAACATTGTCGAAGGCAGAGCAGGAATGATTAAAAATGGATTGATTGATTGATGAAGATTAAGCCAACCAAGAGGTGGCACAGGCATGAATAGCCCGTAAGTGGTAGATTTTTGTAGAGTGAATGTGATCTTTGGTCGTGCCAGGATACACTGTGTGCTGAGCTCGCATTTAAATCGTCAGTCCTTATTATGTGGCTGCTATCGCGGGGAAGGACACTGCTTGACAGTATTTATGAGGGTCTCCAGCTGCTGGACACCTTTTCTGACTAGAAGAGTGGCAGTGTTGATGGCTTCAGGATGGTTACTGCAAGATTCAGGGACTCTTAAAGCTCTTCTAAGGTCGTTGGTTGCTTCACACTCCAGGAGATAGTGAAGTAGTGGCTTTTCTATGATTGTTTGGCAGAAGATGCATTCCCACTCTCTGGGTTCACTAATTTCCCAGTTGCATCTGTAGTCTATATAGTAGGCAGGCGATGAGTCACAATAACGTGGCTGAAGTATGTTGATCAGAAAGTGAAGGGACGACGACGTTTCGGTCCGTCCTGGACCATTCTCAAATCGACTTGAGAATGGTCCAGGACGGACCGAAACGTCGTCGTCCCTTCACTTTCTAGTGTGTGGTCTGGTTAACATCTATATATTAGGCATCCACCAGTCTCAGGAGACCTTCCACTCCACCTTCCAGGTCCTTGTAAGCTCCAGGAGTCACTCCACCTTCCAGGTCCTTGTGAGCTCCAGGAGTCGCTCCACCTTCCAGGTCCTTGTGAGCTCCAGGAGTCGCTCCACCTTCCAGGTCCTTGTGAGCTCCAGGAGTCGCTCCACCTTCCAGGTCCTTGTAAGCTCCAGGAGTCACTCCACCTTCCAGGTCCTTGTGAGCTCCAGGAGTCGCTCCACCTTCCAGGTCCTTGTGAGCTCCAGGAGTCGCTCCACCTTCCAGGTCCTTGTAAGCTCCAGGAGTCACTCCACCTTCCAGGTCCTTGTGAGCTCCAGGAGTCGCTCCACCTTCCAGGTCCTTGTGAGCTCCAGGAGTCGCTCCACCTTCCAGGTCCTTGTAAGCTCCAGGAGTCACTCCACCTTCCAGGTCCTTGTGAGCTCCAGGAGTCGCTCCACCTTCCAGGTCCTTGTGAGCTCCAGGAGTCGCTCCACCTTCCAGGTCCTTGTGAGCTCCAGGAGTCACTCCACCTTCCAGGTCCTTGTGAGCTCCAGGAGTCACTCTATCTTCCAGGTCCTTGAGTACATGCAATCTTCCTGCCCTTTAGAGCTTCGAGCATCAGGAAGCTTCTTTACCTTGGAGGTTCTTGAGCGCCAGGAAGCTCCTTCACGGCTGAGGACGCGGGACAAGTACCCAGCATTCTTCTTTAGTCTGATGTCTTCGAGCGCATCAATACCGCAGTTTACGCGAAAGATATGCAAATAGGATTCAAATTTGCACATTGCGTGGGCTTGAAGACGTGCTTTCAGTAGGCAGGTAGGCGTAAATTAAGTAGGTGAGCAGACGTAAATTGGAGAACTGTTCAGACACAAATTGAAGACACGAGCAGGTACAAGCCAAACTAGTAGGCAGGTGTTAACTGAGGGTAAACAGATTTACCAAACTTTGGTATATGGATACAGCCAACATGTAAACTCTTGTAAATTCCACCACAAAGGCGGCTAGCTCGCTCGTAAATAGCTGGAAATGACAGCCTTAATTAAGTGCATGAGATCACTCCTTGTTCCTCTTCTTTTTTTTACAGATTCTTGAGCCTGACCTTTGAGAACAGGTTCAAGACAATAGGCCGTGACGTCACCGCCTGGCCGGCCTCAGCCACATCACCCTGTTTACGGGAATCTTATCACTACTGGATGTGCTGAAGTACTCTGTCTGTGTCTGTCTGTCTGTCTGTCTGTCTCGTCCCCCCTTCCTCTCTTTATCTCTCTCTCTCTCTCTCTCTCTCTCTCTCTCTCTCTCTCTCTCTCTCTCTCTCTCTCTCTCTCTCTCTCTCTCTCTCTCTCTCTCTCTCTCTCTCGAGCCATAAGCATACAGGGTACAAAACACAATCAAATGTGCCCATAGTAGGAAAGCAGCATGTCAAGGATTTAGGAATAATGATGTTCGATGACCTAACGTTTAGGGAGCATAACCAAGCAAATATTGCGTCAGCCTGAAAAATGATAGGATGGATTACGAGAACTTTCAAATCCAGGGATCCCATCACAATGGTTGTACTCTTCAAATCACTTGTGTTGTTCCGTCTTGAGTACTGCTCAGTACTCACTTCCCCCTTCAGAGCAGGAGAGATTAATGAAATAGAGGGAGCACAGAGAACATATACGGCATACATAGACGCGATAAAGCACCTAAATAATTGGGATAGTCTCAAAGCTCTCCAAATGTACTCACTAGAAAGAAGACGAGAGAGATACCAAATAATATACACCTGGAAAATACTGGAGGGCCAGGTCCCTAATCTACACAGTAAAATAACAAGGTACTGGAGTGAACGATATGGAAGAAAATGCAGAATAGAACCAGTGAAGAGCAGAGGTGCCATAGGCACAATCAGAGAACACTGTATAAACATCAGAGGTCCGCGGTTATTCAACACCCTCCCAGCGAGTATAACATTGTAGGAACAACCGTGGACATCTTCAAGAGAATACTAAATTGTTTTCTTCAAGAAGTGCCGGACCAACCGGGCTGTGGTGGGTATGTGGGCCTGCGGACCGCTCCAAGCAACAGCCTGTTGGACCAAACTCTCACAAGTCAAACCCGGCCCCGGGCCGGGCTTATAGAGTAGAAGAACTCCCAGAACCCAATCAAGGCAGGTATCAATTAGGTAATCTGAAAGGTAAGAGTCCCAACGTAACACTACGAGAATTTACCCTCAGATCACGGAATAGCAACAGTGGGCACATGATCGCCACATACAAAATATTCAGGAAGTGTTATGGACAGGTAGACGAGAACACATGTTATGGATAGTACAGGAACAATCGTAGGTGAAACTAATATACTTGAACGAGTCACTTGGATATTATAAGTCAGTTTATGCACTGTCAGCTTAGTGCCTACATTGAGCACAGCGGGAGGTTATCTTGAGGTTATTTTGAGATGATTTCGGGGCTTTTTAGTGTCCCCGCGGCCCGGTCCTCGACCAGGCCTCCACCCCCAGGAAGCAGCCCGTGACAGCTGACTAACACCCAGGTACCTATTTTACTGCTAGGTAACAGGGGCATAGCGTGAAAGAAACTCTGCCCACTGTTTCTCGCCGGCGCCTGGGATCGAACCCAGGACCACAGGATCACAAGTCCAGCGTGCTGTCCGCTCGGCCGACCGGCTCCCAGGAGAGACAAACTTCGCACACAGATATCGACTGAAGGTACAGAGGCGGAACCCAAAGACTGAATTCTTCCCACCACACACACGCCTCGGAGAGTACAGCTCTGCGAGTACCGCGAAACACTTTTGTTTTAATGTTTTGTTTGTTTTCATGTTTTAATGTTTAATGTTTAATGTTGTTTTAATGTTTCAATGTTTTAATGTTTTGTTTGCGACCCCCTGAGATGAGATAATATATGACTAACTGTGTAAAGACTACCTGAACACTGGAACACTTGAGGACGCACTGGACCTGTAGCCAAGACTGACTGTGTGTGATGCACCAATTATGTAATATGCGACGTAGTTATAACTTGAGTTTGTAAGAGTACGATAACCACCGTACGAGTGCTCAGTAACCCACTACACAGTATGTGGAACACATCTCTAATTAGCTGTGTCTACGTAAGACAGACGAGAATGTACAGATAAATATGCTGATTGCCATTATACACCAATGGCCTCGTCTGTCCTAGAAAAGCAACAACTCAAGAAGAAGAGAGTGAATAAAGTAATTGCCGCGAGGAGTGAAGGGTTTACTGACCGGTCATTAAGTGATGTAGTGTGTGTGAGATCACCATCCAGTTCCTGGCCACAGAGGTTGCACCTGGAGTGCCCAGGGGGGATGTAGACTCGTCCGTAGCCACCTACCACAGGTAACGGTGGCCCCCAACCTGATCCTGGCCACAGAGGTTGCACCTGGAGTGCCCAGGGGGGATGTAGACTCGTCCGTAGCCACCTACCACAGGTAACGGTGGCCCCCAACCTGATCCTGGCCACCACTGTGTCGCACAGTCTGGTCGACGTTTTGTGCTGCCCCGTAAACATAGCTCTCGGATCTGACCAAGTCATAGTTTTTTTATGCTGGCGCTCTCTGGCTTTTGCGAGTCAGTCATTTCTCTCCTGTTGGACCTGAGTGTTTGGAACAATATGGTCTTGGCAACAGTGATGGCGGATGCCTAGGTCTAGTTAAACTTCATCCTTGTTACACGCTAATTTCTGTGTCATTATAATGGGTTATATTTATGCGAGATGGTATCCATACAAGAGATTCTAAATTATTAACCCTACGCAACGACCAGGTTATTTATCATTGCAATTATGAGGTGTTTAACTGTCGATCTTGCAAGCAGACTTTGAATCACAAAATATTACCACCCAGCGAATTATATGGTCAACTCTATGGGAAAGCTACGCCATGTTTCACTATACGAACTCTATCAACTAAATTATATTATAATTAGATATCTTGCATGAGTGTGTTAGGAAGTTCAGCGTCCCGTGTCTGTGGGGCGGTGTTGTGTCCCACTGACACGCCCCTCTGGGGGCCCGTGTTTTGTGTTCGTCTGTGTTACTGTGTCCGTATCTGTGGCCTTGTCTGTATCACTGGCAGTGTGTTTATATCTGTGTGTCAGTGTGTACGTGTCTGTGTGTACGTGTCTGTGTGTACGTGTCATTGTGTACGTGTCTGTGTGTACGTGTCTGTGTGTACGTATCATTGTGCACGTGTCTGTGTTAGTGTCCGTACTCACCTAGAGTTGAGTTCGCAGGGTCGAGCCTCTGTTCTTAAGCCCCGCCTTTCGGCCATTATTATTTCAATGCTTCACTCGTTTCACTCGTTTTTCTTGTCATATTGATCCTAAAAGCTGAGTATGGAATTGGATTCGACAACTTCATCGTTCATTTCCTGCCACTTACTGACGAATGTGAAACTGGCAGAGTTCTTTCTGACATGTGTGGCTCATCTCTGTGTTCCGGCTTCCAATTAATTGATACTTCTCCTGATAGTTCCCTTCCTTAGTATCTCGTATATCGTTATCATGACTCCTTTATTCCTTCTTTCCTCCAGTATAGTGATGTCCACCTCCCTCAGTCTTTATAGCTCAGTTCTTTTAGCTCCGGAACGAGCCTTGTTGCATATTTTGGAGGCTTGTATTTCGTCTTGTGTTTCTTCAGGTATGGGGTTCCATGCCGGAGCAGCATACTCAGTAACGGGTCTAACAAAGGATGTATACAGCGCTGGGAAGGGACCCTTCGCCAAGTTCCTCAAGGGACAACTGGACGTTGCCAGTGTGGCATATGTAACCGTTGGTATTCTGAAGTGTGTCTTTGGTGTTTGATCTCCAGTTATGTCCACTCCTAAGCTACGCAGGATTTTATTAAACTACGCAGGATTTTACTAAACTAAGCAGGATTTTACTAAGCTACGCAAGATTTTCCTAAACTACGCAGGATTTTATTAAACTACGCAGGATTTTACTAAACTAAGCAAGATTTTCCTGAACTATGCAGGATTTTATTAAACTACGCAGGATTTTACTAAACTAAGCAAGATTTTCCTAAACTACGCAGGATTTTATTAAACTACGCAGGATTTTACTAAACTAAGCAAGATTTTCCTAAACTACGCAGGATTTTTCTAAACTACGCAGGATTTTCCTGAACTACGCAGGATTTTCCTGAACTACGCAGGATTTTCCTGAACTACGCAGGATTTTCCTGAACTACGCAGGATTTTCCTGAACTACGCAGGAATTATGGCGTTTTCCACCATTATGTTACCTTTAAATACACCAGGAAATCATAACAGTTTGATATTAAAGAAAATCCCTGGGAGTGAAATAATGGATAACTCCATGCCTATCTTGGGTATCTTGACGTGATTCCGAGGATCAACGTCCCCGAGGCCCAGTCTCTGACCAGAACTCCTAGCTGGGTGTCTGATCAACCAGGCTATTAGACGCAGCTGCATGCGTTCAAGCGGGCTATTCGTAAAACAAATTATTTTTGGCAACAAAATCCTTAGAGGACACACTATAGTGTCCCAGGTTGGATAGCTTTCAGCATGGTATGGCTCAGATGGTGTGGCATGGGCTTGACACTCACCAAACTGCTTGTGAGTGTCCGCTCACCTCCGCTCTGCTCCAAGGATCTTCTCATTGAACGGACGATTATCGTTGAACATATAATGTCGTGTAGTGACGTTATCAAGTTACTACACGACTGGACAATGGTCCAGGACGGACTGAAACTTCGTCGTTTCATCGTTTTGTGACGTGTGTGATTCAGGCAT